CTTGCTTTATTTTGAAAATATCCTCCATTCTTTTCTCAACTTTTTGAGCTCCCGATTGTGCTTTGATGAATGAATCTGCAAGTTCAGCAAAAGAATCTATAGAATTTTCGGGTAAAAGAGAATACCATGTTAATGCTCCCTTAGTGAGTGTTTCTCCGAATTTCTTGACCAACACTGATTCAATTTCTTGCTTGGTCAAGTCGTTGCCTTTTACACAGGTTGTGAATGCAGTTACGTGATCCCTTGGATCAGTTGTCCCATCATATTTCGGAATGTCGGGCATTTTGAATTTCTTCGGAATTGGTAAAGGGGTTGCACTTGGCTTCTAAGGTTGTTGTGAGTACTTGTCTATATCTATTCCCTTGATTATAGGCGGCACTCCAGGTATTTGCTCTATGTGGTCGCTCTGCTCCTTGAGCTGTTTCTGCAAAGTTAGTACCAAATTTTGTAAATAAGAATTAACTAGGTTACCTGACCCTCCATCATGGGATTCGCTAGAAGTTCCTCCACTGCCTGAATTAACGAGTCCTGAGCGAGGATTTTCTAAGGTGTTGTTGTTTAGAGTTGATATCGGCGGCACAACTGGCAGATGGTTAGAGAAGGCCTCAAGGGCATTGCTGACCTGTTCAACAATTAATTTTTTCAAAGCTTCATTAATAGCCTCATCATTTTCAAATTGATCATTCACATTTGACAGAGACCCATCAGGAGTTCCTTCTCGAGATTGTTGAGGAGAATTTCGTGGGGAAGGGACCGGAGTTCCTGTGCCTTGCAGATTCTCCTGTTGTTGGTGACCTCCTTGATTGTTGTCATTAACATTCGACATGATTGTTTTGACGAGAAATTCGATTTAGAAAGTAATAGATTATCAGATTCTCGGTAACAAAACCAATTTGTTTAACCAGAAAATAAGAAATTCAGGTCAAAGCGTATTTTTTAGAAGAACTTGGGTTACTGATAATCAAATTGAAAGTAAATAAGAAGAATTGAGATGACTGATACCTGAGTAAAAAGAAAGCAAAGTAAATCAGTGTATTCCAATAATATCGTGTCTTTACAAGTGTTATATCTCTCCTTTTATAGCTATCTCTCAATAATACGTTTCCTTTGCTATCATAATAGAGCCATTTTGAGCAATTAGTGACATTTAATACAACGTTATAATCGGTAATCGTAACTGTTTTGTGAAGATTCTATAACGTTTTCCATCATTGATGCTCATTAATTGTGGATAATACGTATTTGTACTTTTTGCTATCCAGGTTCATTCCTCTGATGTCTTTTCATATTACCATGAGGCTCGAGTAATTGTGCCTCCCTGTTTTTCTTGAATCTCTTCCCGTGCCTGTCAAAGCTCGTGCCTCTTCAGCTATCCTTTGCCAGCTGTCACTCTTTTATTGATCCACGTGTCTTGGTATATTAATTCGATATGTTAACTTGATTTTCCCAATACAGTACGCAAAACTACAATACTGGAATTCATAACCAATAATGGAAAAATAGGAAGAAGGAAGTGAAAAACTCGTAGAAGAATTCTCCGCCTTGCTCCTAGTATGTTCTTTCCTCCTTAGGTCGAATCCCCGGTCTCCTTAGGTCTAAATTATGTCAAAAGTACGCCCCCACCCATCTCAAAATAGCATTTTTACATGTATTTATACCAAATAGGTTTTGTCCTAGACGAAGCATCTTTTCCTGCGCGAAATAGGACTCTGGAGCTATAAAATTTGCACAGGCCTGCATGGGGCGACGTGCCACGCGGTGTGCTTGTGGGGAAGTTCAGAGAGCTGATTCTGAAAGGTTGCAGGAATTTTCCACAGGCGCGGCGCGCCCCGCGCCACTCCACGCGCGGCGGTAATGGGAAGTCGCGAAAATGCAAAACATGAAAGTTGTAGCCGTTTCAAATATCTTTCCAACGATATATTGTGGAGCCCAAACAGTGTTCTGAGCAAAAGGTTATGTGCATTTTACTAGACAATGCGCCGTATGCCCGCTCGATTCTTCATTTCGTTCTTAACTATCATCCATTGATCCGCGAACACGATCCCGGCTTGATTCCTTGGGCTTTTACTCAGACTTCAATGCTCCAAATCACTTGAATTCATTCCATAATATCTACATAGCTCAGAATCACTCCTACAAGGCATAAAATACACAATTAGTGTAAAACACTAGCCATTAAAGCTCAAACTCAATTAAAGTGCAGTGCATTAGAGTGTAATAAACGACTAAAATACGCAATTATAGCCTATCATCAAGTATTTTTTTTTTGAAAAGTAAAAACAAATTATTGCTATTGATGTGTGAACACTTTATTTTGTTGGTGCATAACTACTTAGACATTTCTAATAAATAATATTTAAAAGTTAAACAAAAAAAAAGGTCTACAGCTTATTACTGAGCTGCTACTTTATATCTTAAATCGTACTGTAGACAATAAATTTGCGTCAAGAAAATAAAATCATGATCGAAAAATATTCCAATAATCGTAGTATTTTATTTCGAATATTTGAGTGTTACAATCTCTATGAATCCTCTGATTCTTCTTTCCAATAGTAAATAAATTCAAGGGCCTTTGAGCTTGATCTTGAATGTGTAGTTGTTGCCACGAAGGATGAACTTGTTCTTGAGCTTAAGCTTGATTGCTTGAACTTGACCTTGATTTGTTCTTCGTTCTTGAGCTTGAACTTGATTTGTTCTTCTTTATTGAGTTTGAACTTGATTGCTTGAAGCTTCAAACTTGTGGAGGAATTTGTAGCGTTTGATCCACGAGCTCTTTCTTGCTTCTTGTAATAACTTCTGGTGTCTTTTCTAGGTTATGAAGACCCCTATTTATAGTTGTGGGAGGGAAGAGTTATGATAAGAACAAACTCTTTCCGACCAATCAAATTGAAGTGTGCCAAGGCCGCATTTGATTGGTCAGAACATGTCACTTGAACACATGGCGCGGTTTCATTGGCCTTTTAATGTGACTTGGCATGCCTTGTCATTTTGACACGTGGCATGATCCTATTGGTTCTTCTGTTTGACTTGGCGTGCCACGTCATTTGACACGTGGCACCAAACTGGACCTTTAGGAAGATGACATGTTGGGCTTAATGTAGTGGGCTCAGCACTTTAGCCCGATTAAATGAGCTAGCTCAATGGATTAAGACTTATTTATTTAATCCATATATATTGGATTACATAATTAATTCAATTATATTAGTCCAATAAATTTATTTGAACTAATATGTCTTGAATTTAAAATATAGTCCAAATTATTTTACGAATTTAATTTCAACAAAATTTATATGGCTACACGTACCATATGAAATCTTCAATTATTTAACGTGATAAAGTAAGAAAATGAATTCTCTTTTGTCGTTGAAGTTAAACAGTAATTCATTGGAAAATAATATAAAGGTTATCGTTGAAAATTAAATGACAACTTATTACTGAGCTGCCACTTTGTATCTTAAGTAGATGTTTGAATAATATTTTTGTTGAAGCGGAAGGTGTTTACCTCGAAAATATGAGTAACAATTAAATTTGATTTGTGGTTTTAAAGATATGTGATTAGATTCAATACCAATTAATAATCAAGAAGTATAAAGTAGAAGTGAAGGAGATAAATGTATCAAACCAATATAACTCAGCACCAGTGACCTCGAGCTTAGTGACCTCGAGGTGGGTTTAGGACAATAAGAACAAGTAAGCAAGAAAAGTAAAGTAAGAGTGACAATGTTGATGAACAATAGCCAAAAAGTAGAGAGTATATTCTTTTCTCAATGATTAGACGATGTTACAAATGATTGGGGTCCCCTTTATATAATAGGGGAACCCTAAATAAGGAATATTTCTATTTACAGTAGGGAATATTCTTGATACAACTGTCTAACCGCCTAGTACGGAATCGTATAATCCTATCCCGGGATTTGCGCCATGATCTTGGGGACGTGGCAGGAATCTAGTTCATTCTGTTACAAATCCATAACGGTACTATTTCGGGATCGAGCATACTTGCCCCCGGTGCTCCTCGTACTCCTATCTCCGATTATCACATTCTGTCTTCGAGCTCGAGTCTGGTCCACCGGGCTCGAACTCGACTTTGCCCGGACTCGGGCTTAGGACGGACCCTCGAGTCTATAAATCGGAGACATATGATTTTGACCGAATACAGAAGGAAAATTATTTGAAGTTAAAATTGTAAAAGAGTATTTGAAAGTTGATGTTGTGTTTGAACATAATATTACTTAGAAAAAGAGCGAAAGATTCTGATTAAAAGCATAATTTAACTTAAAATAATTTTCGAATAACTATTATTTCATCAGTATTCTCAAAGACTAAAGTTCAGTACGTATTCGAAAATAGTGAATTTTGACTATCACAAATATTGAATTATTTACTAGAACATATATTCGGTTGAAACATGATTTTTTTAAAATTGTGTTGAAAATAATTTTTGGGAGTTGAAGTTGTGTTAGGATATGCTTTTTATTTTGAATAAAAATTGAAGTTTTGCGAGTGGAAAAAAAAATTCACCCAAAAACTGAGCCAAACCAATTTTTAGGAACTTGACAATTTTTTAAAATTCTTGTTTTTTAAAAGAAGATTTAACCTAAATAGCAGCCTACCCAATTACTTGAACTAAAAATAGCCGGAATGCATAACATATGTATAATTTATATATAATATGTGTATAATTATGTAAGTAATGTATAATCTATGTATACCGGCTAGAAAAAATAAACAGTGAAACTAACACGATATTTAGGTAAAAATCTCTTTTTAAAAATGGTCACATTTCATAAATAAATAATATTTTTAATTTTTTTTTAAAAGTCGTCAAAATCTATGATCAAAGGGAAGCATTATTTATGGATTTTTTCTTCTCATTTCCGTAGCTTACTAAAGATTTTAACTGGTTTGTCTGTTAATTTTGATTAATAATTTTGTTAATTATATTTTATTTAATTTCCCAACTTGGCTTTTAATTTTATATTTTTGGATCGACATTGTTGTCTTTCTCAACCTTCCGATCTACCGTACATTTAGTTCGATAATTATCGTTGCGATGCTGTTACTCAATAGAAGAATGAATTCAACCACACGAAATGAGCCCCTTTTACACTTAAAAGACAGAGCAAAAGAAGAAGAATCAAAAGCAGATAACTTAGTCAAAAGAACATGCCAAGAATCAAAGAAGATATGGGAAATAGCTGGACCTTCCATTTTCAGCCGATTGGCCATGTTTTCTCTCACTGTTATCAGTCAATCCTTTGCCGGCCACTTGGGTGACCGTGACCTCGCCGCCATTTCCCTTGCCACCACTTTCTTCATTCCCATTACTTTCGGCTTCTTGGTATGTCATTCTTTTTGGATTAAAAGCAAAAGGATTTTTAAGTTATATGCATAGATTATACATAAGTATATACCTCCATGAAGTACGACCCTTACCCGGACCTTGCATAAACGTGGGATGCTTCGTGCACGGGCTACCCTTTTACCTGTAACTACATAAGTAATCAGATTGTTTAAATACCTTTTTTTTACATTTCCTGTGTATAGAATTTAAACTCGAAAGAAAGAAAGTACTCACCAAATGATTGGTTTTTGTAAAATGAGAAAATAAGAAATGAATAATGAGGTTTAGTTAACTTAAATCCATGTCTGATATAGAGAAAACTATCAGCTTCCTTATATAATTTTTTTGTTTGAAATTTTGTTGATGTTATTGAAGTATTATTGATTGGTCAGCTGGGAATGGCCAGTGCTCTGGAGACATTGTGTGGCCAGGCTTATGGGGCAAAGCAATACCATATGTTGGGTGTATACTTGCAACGTTCTTGGATCGTGTTATTTATCAGCTCGATATTACAGTTGCCTCTTTTTGTTTATGCCGCACCTATATTGGAGCTACTGGGACAGCCGGAAGCAGTGGCTAAATTGACCGGAAAAGTGGCAATTCTGCTGATCCCTATGCACTTGAGCTTCCCTTTTCAGTTTACTTTGTTAAGGTTCCTGCAGTGTCAGCTAAAAACATCTGTAATAGCTTGGGTTTCTGGTGGAACATTTGCTCTACATGTGATCTTGAGTTGGATTTTTCTATATAAGTTGGGAGTTGGAATTGTTGGGACTGCCCTCATTCTTGATTTCTCTTGGTGGATTTCTGTATTGGGATTTCTTGCTTACATTGCCTTTGGTGGGTGCACTCATTCTTGGACTGGTTTCTCTATGCAAGCGTTCGTTGGTCTTTGGGGTTTCTTTAAGCTCGCTGTGGCTTCTGGGGTGATGCTATTGTATGCTTTCTTGTCCCTTATTTCTCTCTTTTATTAGAAACACAGTCACATTAATATAACAATGTTCGATATTTCAGGTTGGAGCATATTTATTTTAGAGTGCTAGTTATTGTGTCTGGGTACATGAACAATACTGAGGTTGCAGTTGATGCGCTCTCTATCTGGTTCGTTCTTTTTTATAGTATATTCAGCTCAAGTAAATGCTATCTTTTGCTTGATTTTACGAGTAATTGATGTTCTTTCTCCTCCAGTATTACAATCATCGGGTGGGAATCCATGATTCCACTAGGCCTTTTGGCGGCAACAGGGTATGTTCATCAAATAGTTGAATTTATTTCTACTGTTTAAATCAAGTTTAGCTTATGGTGTGTTTATCTTTTCTCTTCTGGTACATGAATGCTTACCAATAATAGAAAAGAGCATATCTCGTTTCTTGTTTTCTGCCACTGAAGTTTCATTGGGCTATAGTACTATACGGAAGTTTCATCTGGCCGGTAACCATAAATTTTTCTTTAAATACAGGGTACGTGTTGCAAATGAACTTGGAGCTGGAAATGGGAACCGTGCAAAGTTTGCCACGAAAGTTGCATTCTTGAACACTTTAGCATTGGGCATCTTATTTTGGTCAATAGTTATGGCCTTTCCTGATATGCTTTCAATGATATTCACGTCAAGTACTCCTGTCATTAAAATGGTGTGTGGATTTGCATTCTTGTTGGCAACCACAATCCTTTGTAATTGCGTTCAACCAGTTCTTTCAGGTGAGGAATCTTAAAGGAGGTTAACTTTAATATATTGACAGTGTAAAACAATTTTTGTGCTATCATATACAAAAGGAAAATTAGAGATAACTTTTCATTAAAAATAGAATTAGTAGCGTAGAAAATAAGGTAAGATAACTACTACAATAGGTTAAAATACGTCAATAATGTAAAGATTCTTTAAAAGTTAAATCCATCTCAAAGTATTAGATGCTGACATTTATATGAAAAACCATGTATTGTAGTTAATTATTTGCTACAATGTTTTCAGGCGTAGCAATTGGATCTGGTTGGCAGGCACATGTGGCATATGTCAACTTAGGCAGCTATTATTTAGTAGGAGTGCCCCTCGGAATATTTTTTGGATGGTCACTAAATTTTGGATTAACGGTATGTAAAACAATAGACCATGATATTTTAGTATCTGTCTCCCTTTGTAATATCAACTGTGGTAAAACGACTACAATCTAATATACTCAAGCGTATACTGGAGATGACATGTGGTAAGTAAATTTGCAGGGCTTATGGTATGGCATGATCACAGGGACTATAGTTCAAACATTGATATTAACGATTATGACCATCAGATGTCAATGGACCATATAAAGAGGTATAATATCGAACTGGCTGTTTAGCTTGAAACCTTTCTCCCTCACCTAAATTTTGTATAGAATGTTTAACTTTTTCTACTGGACATTCATCTTAGGTATGAGAAGCTGAAATTCGAGAGGAATGTTAACAACATTGTTCTTGATTCATTAACACTCACTAACAAAGGGTCTCACACGCAAGCAGAAAACTTGGGGTCTGTTAATGTTGGAAGATAGCTGTGCTATTTGTTGATATAACATTTCCGTGACACATAATATCTTTGTTCCAGTTGCTTTTGTATGTATTTTTTTAACTATTCAACGTTCGAATTCACTGGTCTACTAATCTAGATTTGCATCGAGTAAGTTCATTAAAGAAAGTAAAGCGCTCCAACCACTTGATCTTGTGCTTGGTGTTGGTAACTATTATTGCAGAGCAGAAACTGATGAGGTCTTAGATGTAGCTAAATGCTTATTATCATGTGGACTCTGCAGCAGTCTGACCATGCTCATACTATTTTGTTCATTTTGTTCTTCCTTGAAAGGAGGAAAATGGTACAGGAATGAATCAAAAGACCAGAGGATTAGCATCAGTTTTTCATTATTTTTCAGAGAAATCAGAGTTTTCAGAACTCACATTTTTGTATTTTTGTACAAGTTCTGCGGAGGAGAACCATAGATGCCCCGGTTAGGAGGTGTGAACAGTAGAGGGCGGCCTAAGAAGTATTGGGGCGAGGTGATCAGGCAGGACATGGTGCGGCTTCAGATTTCCGAGGACATGGCTCTTGATAGGAACATGTGGAGGTCGAGCATTAGAGTTGTAGGCTAGGGGGTAGTCGAGAGTTTCTCCCTCTTTGTACAGGATAGTCTAATAGAGTTTTGTCTAGGTCTGTTAGCAGTCTATGTTGTGTTCATATTGTTGTTTTGCATAGTTTTGTGTTATTGTCCTTTCACTTATTTGTTGTCTCTTATGTTGCTGTTATTACCTCTAAAAGCCCACGAAGTCCGGGACCGTTAGGACCGGCCCACGAGGCCCATTTAGGCCTAGGGCCCGGCCCGTTTGCCAGCCTTATGTGGAAACAACAATATCAAACATTTTAGTAGGAAAAGATATAATTTTTTTATGAGTTTAGGCAAGTGGAAGGATGAATACAATCCGCCACAACTCAGCTTGCACCAAAGTAGAAGGAAGTTCGAGTTACCAAAGACCAAAGTACTATGTCTGGTGGTATATTAGCTAAAAATATACATTTTGAATTTCTCAAACTAAACTTCTCAATTTTGTGGCTGATTGGTTCCATATTAGTGAAATATTTACTAGTTTCACGAAATTTTTCCTATAATTAGCGGCCCTGGTTCATACCAGGTGGTACGTGTATTTAATTTCAGCACATGTTTTAATGCATTTTTATGTGATTTAGGTACTTGTCATTTATATTACTTTCTGATGTATGAATCTCATTTGTCGGGTTCAATTTGTTACTAATCTCTAACGATCATTGCTTAGAAATTCGTTATCTTTTTATTAAATCTGTGTTAAGTCTCATTGTAATAGAAAAAAAGAAGGCAACAAAATTATCCTGGAAAAGAAAATTTTACTAGTACTAGCATTTAATTGCTCCTTAGCGTGAAAAGCAATGAAAAAAGTGCTATAACCACATCTTTTGTCATCTCTTTTGTTATCAAGTCATGAATCATGACTATAATCAAGTTGGCATTCAATTGCTTGAGAAGGAGCCAATTTTGATTTCGCTACTTGTCCGTTTCATTTAATACTACGTTTGCTTTTAAAATCGTTTGAATATATATTGACCCATTTTTATATTTGACATAATCTTTTTTTTAAATGACACTTTATTGTATAATTAACATACAACAACAATTTTTGAATCTAGTTAAGTACAATAATATAAATTAAATGGAGAGAAAATATAAATCATAGCTAAACCGCACTGTATTGTCCCCTTAATGGGATCGTTTGAAATAGTGAGCTAGAAATATGACAGTGTTAAGCAGTGAAGTTCCTTAGACCATCTCCAACCCTCACACCAAATTTCACATCAAAATGGTGTAACACCAAATTTACTCCAACCATTACACCATTTTTTACACCAAAAAATAATATTTCTTCTCTCTCTTCTATATTATATTATTATCTTCTATTTAAATTTTATTTTTTATTTCCTTCAAACAAATACTATCTTTTTTCTTTTTTCCATATTGATTATATATAATTCACATTCGCCACTTACTAAACTTATGTTTTATGTTTTTTAATGTAATTTCGATTTTAATGTATCCTCCTTTGATGTACTTTAATTATAATGTATTTTTATTTTATGTATTGTTAATTTTCTTTTTAAATTTTAGTTTTCACTTTTCAATTTTAGCAACATTAGATATCTTACATTTGCATTTTTTATTTTTAAATAATGGTTAATTAACTTATAATTTTATATAAATATAATATATACAAAAATTAATATATCAAAAAAATAGAATATAAAATTAAAATTATAAAGATCTTAATATAAAAATTAATTATATACACAATATATGATAAATTAAAAATTCAAAAAATAAAAAGAATAAAAAAATAAAATAAATAAATACAAATTTGGTGTCAACACTATTCATGCACTATAATGGTGCAAGAATTTGGTATTCCATTGGAGCAAAAAAATATTAAATTTTACACCAAATTTGGATTTGGTGCAAAATTTAGTGCAGCCTGAGATGGCCTTATCATAAATGAAATCTAGTGTTAAATCAACACAACCGACCGAACAATTACCAGCTCTACAAATTCGGATCGGCTCAATGGAGGTAATTACCTTATTAAATAATCATATTGATATTTTGTTTTTTGAATGAATGCAGGTTATTTGATGAGGCGCTAATATGTTGTTACAGATTCCAATGGCCGCGTGAACCCTTTATTTTTGTAATGATGCATAATTTATGAAAATATACTATTCCCTCCAGTCTATCACGTTAACTATTTTTAGCTTTTTTTTTTATGATCCATAATATTTATTTTCTTCAGGAATTATTTATTCTTTTTTTCACAGTTGCACTTGGAGTAAAGTAGGCCTATGAGTATTTATTGTATTTGCAATGAAAAATTAAGATTAATATGGTCTAATTTATTTTTAATAGTGTAAAAAAATACAATTAAATTGGAGTACTCTTTTAAAAATAAAAATAAAAACCACACACACACAAAGGTTTTCGATTAACTATTGCACTTGTTTACTTCACAAGCTCTAATCACATGGATGGATCGATCAGTCTAAGACCAGTTTAATTTTTCGATTTTAAGATTCATTCAGATTACTTTAATAGGTACTGGCTGTTAATGTAATTTAATTAGTATTGCTGACTGTAAATGTAATTTCTGTTAGTATTAAAACTAGTAGTTGACAAAAAAAGACTGTCCATACTGATCGAAGTTGTAAATGAAATGATCCGAACAATTCAAAATTGACAACTACTTTGCTATCAGTCCAATTACGCTGAATGTAAAACTTTACGCCGTCATCGTATTACTTGGGTTCTTCTATAAACTCCCTACAAAATCGCCCCACGATTTTTCATATACAACTCTCATTTTGGTAACCACCTACTAAATTTTACACCTTGCTCTGCCTTATTCTAGTATATTACAAAATGGGCAGCGACAAAGATAACGACGAAAACCGGCAACCGTTGCTGGCGGAGGCAACCTCCGCGAACTGGTTGCTGTCGAAAAATACAGTTGAAAGAGTTGATGAAGATGATGATAAGGATCTGAAAACAAGAGTATGGATTGAAACCAAGAAACTATGGCATATCGTTGGTCCGTCCATCTTCAGCCGTATAGCTTCCTATACCATGAACGTTATCACTCAAGGTTTTGCTGGACACCTTGGTGAAGTTGAACTTGCTGCCATCTCCATTTCTAACACCGTCATTGTTGGCCTCAACTTTGGCCTCCTTGTATGTATATCTCCCTTCAATATTATATATACACAGATTGATGTGACATATAATAATTAAGCTTCTGGTATAGTAACAAAAATAATACAAGAATTATTTTTAGGTTACATGTTTCATTCTTATCTACTATTGTTAACCGTGGCGGATCTACATGGCCACTTGCGGGTGCTCAAGCACCCGTTATCTTTGACAAAATTTAATAAATTAGCATAGACAATTATCAAAATATTTCAATATATATTAAGCCTAAATTTTTTTCTCTTTCTTTCAATTTTATTTTTTGGCGAGCACCCACGAATTTAAAATTCTGAATCCAGCACTATTTTACTTGTCGGTTTTCTTGTTAGAATTTCTTACTATATGTACGTTGCCAATCAACAAAAGTGAGTGAGTAACTTCTGTTTTTCGGGTATGATTTTTGACATGGAAATGTAGCTAGGAATGGCGAGTGCATTAGAGACGTTATGTGGACAAGCTTTTGGAGCAAAAAAACATCACATGTTAGGAATATACATGCAAAGATCATGGATCGTTCTATTTCTATGTTGTTTCCTATTGCTGCCTCTCTACATATTCGCCACCCCAATTTTAAAAGCGTTAGGCCAACCGGATGACGTGGCAGAACTATCAGGAGTAGTGGCGCTGTGGTTTATACCGCTGCACTTCAGCTTTGCGTTTCAGTTTCCGATACAAAGGTTTTTGCAAAGCCAGCTGAAGACGCCGGTTCTCGCTTGGGTTTCACTGGCGGTGCTGGCGATTCACACGGTGGTTAGTTGGTTGTTCGTGTACAAAATGAATCTTGGGATAGTGGGAGCCGCCGTGGCACTGGATATATCGTGGTGGTTGTTGTTTATTGGGCTGTTTGGGTACACCGCATGTGGTGGATGTCCAGAAACGTGGAGTGGTTTCTCTACACAAGCATTTTCGGGACTTTGGGAATTCATTCGACTCTCTGCCGCTTCTGGCGTCATGCTTTGGTAAGCAAAATTAATACTGTGTCAACTAAATTAAAACAGAGGGAATACTGCTCTTAAACAAAAATATTTAATGATTTTAATTGTAAATCTCCTTGGATATCTGACTTAATTATACTATTTGAAGACAAGATTTGGGAATAAAAATTGTGATTACAAGAATCACAATCTTATAATTATGTATTGAACATTTATTTGCAGCTTGGAGAACTGGTACTATAGGATATTGATGTTGATGACTGGGTATTTGGAGAATGCAACGCTGGCTCTTGATGCGTTGTCCATCTGGTAAGCCATTCGTCGTTTCTTTGGTTCCTTATAAAAATCAATTCGAGTTTCACGTACAATTTTTTTCTTTCGACTCCCCCTCTTCAGTTCTTATCTTTCCTTTTCTGTTTTTTTATTTTTACATTCTTATTGTACTTTTGACCGACTCTATTGCAGCATGAATATTAATGGTTGGGAGATGATGATA